AAAAATAAAAAAAAAGAGTGAAAAAAAATAAAAAGGACGTATTGTATAAATTCGTTTTTTCTTAAAAAACGGATTTCTTGAATACGTTTTTGTAAGTAAAACGTATTAAATTTATCTATTTTACTAAAAAATAATTAATTAACATAATTAATGTAATTAAATTTATGCGTTGCAAGAAAAAAACAAATCAATATGGAACTACAATTATTAATTTAACCTGATCCACCCTATCCACCAAAATCCCTCACATATGACAAAAAATAAAAGAAAGGAGAAAATATGTGACAAAAAAGAAAAGAGAAGAGAAAAATGAAAAAGAGTAGGAAAGAAAGGGAAAATATGGGCCCTAAATTCCGATCACATAGCAGGTAGGGTCCCCACTGTCCTCTAACCTGTGATTTCATCAAATACTTTGGCGTTCTTTCAAAAGCTTAACAAAATGAAAATATACAGTTATTAAAATGAAGTAGAAGAAATCTCAAAAAGACATAGGATACAAAAATTCAATTGCTATTTATCGCTCCCTTTTTAGTAGTCATGGCCCTCCCATTTACTTTTTTGCCTTTAACTCTTATCTCTCTAAACTTTCTATCTCTCTAAATTCTCGAACTTTCAACGAGCGATTTGAGCACCGAAAAAAATCCACAAAAATGTCAAAAAAATCCTACGGCATCGGCAAAGCGTTCTTCTCTAGCAAGGTAATTTTTTTTTTTACGCATGAATAATTTTTAAATTTATTTNTTCTTCTTCTTCTTCCTGAGGCACGGGGTCGGCAGCAGGTTGGTGCTCGCGTCGTCTTCTACCTCCACCAATGTTGGGAGCAGGTCGATGCCTCGCCCGATGTGACTGCGTCCTTTGGGATCGGACGTAGCTTTCCTGCGAGAGAACTTCGCTCGACGACGTCCCTTGTGTGACGTCTCCGCCTCTGACAGCCAGAGAACTGTATAGAAGGTTTTTGGCATGTTGGAATGCCGCCAACACATCTGGATGGAGTGTATGATGTAGGTGGTCCACGTTAGATAACGTGTGAAAAGCACCCTCCATGGCGGCAGCCTGAAAATTAAATTCAAAGTCAATTATAATTAAAAAAATAATAATAATAATAATAAAAAAAACACAAATATATATTACTTACATTGCACTTCCCCTGCTCGGCAAATGGGTGAAAGCCTCTGTCCGGTTGGGCCACCGCGTACTTGGCAGGGTCACTGAGTAGTCTCACAGTATCACCAATCAAGGTAACCCGGCTCAAGCTCAATGAATGGCTCCATTGCGAGGGCTGGGACAACATTTTCGTCGCTATGTTCGACCCAAGCATTCCCAAGCTCTCCGTGAAAGGTGACCCAATAAAAAACTGGCCTCTCAGTCATCCCCTGGCCTCGATGGTGTAATTGATATTCGGTGTCGTAATGATAGGAGGCTCGGGGGTGGACTGCCGGCACCCGAACTGACGGAGGACCCTATCAGGCAGGTGGAGTTCACGAACGTTTCAGTTGAAGATCCACCCCCTATACATCCAGAGGTGTGAACCTTCTGTACACTGGGCCGGGAGAACANTCATCTGATGTCATTAGCAAGTAGCGCCCGTTTCTCGTTAAATGTTTTTAATTTAAAAAAAAACTCTGATTTTTATTAATTAATTCGACAAATTCTTTAAAATAAAACGGGGCGTTACAAGTTCACGGACGTTCCAATTGAAGATCCACCCCTATACATCCAGAGGTGTGAACCTTCTGTACACTGGGCTGGGAAAACATTCGCTTGCAGGTGCCACTGATAGGGTAGCCATTCGAACTGAAAAAAAAAATATACAAAAAAAATAATAATTAGGAATTAAGTTATAAAAAAAATTAAAACAAAGAACAAATAAAAATAATAATAATAATCTTACATCCGTCTCCGTGAGTCCTGTCAATTGATCCCGGTTGGTGGCTGTTCCCTTGCCCTTTGTAATCACAAAATTTGATAGTGGAAATAATCTAAGTATTAAGTATAAATAAATTTTATTACCTTTTACCTACAGGACAAGCAGCGCCTCTCTCAAAGTTCGTATCCCTCATTCTTGGGCGAATACGAGGGATACGTTCATATGCCCAAACCTACACATATCGACATATTCATTTGTTATTAGATATTAGTCTAAATTAGAATAAAAAAATAAATTTTCAAATANAAATTGTAATCACAAAATTTAATAGTGGAAATAAAGTAAATACTAAATATAAATAAATTTTATTACCTTCCACCTAGGGGACAACCAGGGACTCTCTCAAAGTTTGTATCCCTCATTCTTGGGCGAATACGAGGGATACGTTCATATGCCCAAACCTACACATATCGGACATATTCATTTGTTATTAGATATTAGTCTAAATTAGAAAAAAAAATTAAATAACAAGCAAATAAATTTATCTGAATCAGTTGGACACAGTTCTTAATCCAGTTTTCCCCGGACTTGGCGCTCGTGCAGAGCGCTCTATACACTCCGGCCAGGACCGCCGAACCCCTGCTGTACGTCTTGATCGTATCGATGTCGTGCAAAAGCTGCAACCAGTAGAGGTTCACTCCATTGCCCCTCTAGTCGAGGAAGAAGAAGTAACTGATGCACCAGAGTATAAGGGCCTTCGCCCTCGCCTCATAGGTGAAGCAATGCTCTCCATCGTCTAGCTCTCTGTTGCACTCCTCTTCTAACACATAGGCCTTCAAATACTGGCCTGTAATGGCCCAAGTCCTGGGGTCTTGAACCGGTTCCTCGGCTTTCTGAGAGTGGTTTATATATGTTAAATTAGTGAATGGAGTAAACATAAATAAATTTAAAAAAAAATGTAAGAAAAAATTTACCTGAACATAGGGCTCGAACCCTAGCTCATCATTACAAATTTCGTGTCATTTAAGGGGCGTGTTATCTTGAGTCGCTCCCCAACAAGGCTCTCCATCGATCGGGAGACCAAAAAGGACTTGTACGTCCTGCAGTGTGATGGTGGCCTCCCCGAAGGCAAAGTGGAAGGTATGCGTCTCCGGTTGCCACCTTTCCACTAGACACGTGACGAGGCTGTTGTCGGTCATGACTCTTCCCATTCAAAACAGTGGGCCAAACCCCGCTATCTCGATGGCATCCCAAACCTTTGGGATGCTAGTGATCAAACGCCTTCCAGAACTGAGTGTCGAAATGGCGGGGTTTAATGACGCCGTCACGACATCTGCCTATATCTTCGAACAAATCACTCGACCAGTGGCAGTACTGAAGATATAGAACGGACGGATCTCTCGGACCGGGATGTACATTGAAGCGTTGCGGTTGTGAGGACGACGAAGATGCCATTGTCTGCCAAAAAACAAAAACAATCATTATAATATACTACATACTA